CTGCCAGCTGGGACCCCGTGCTCCTGCCACTGTGCTCTGGGCCCTGCCGGCACTGGCTCTGGGACATCAGTGCAGGCCCCATGCTCCTGCTGGCTTCCCACCTACTCACTCCCAGTGCCCCCCAACCCTGCTGTGTACAGGTGTATGTGTGGTGGGGGCAGCGCACAGCCCTGACCCCCTGCTTGCGGGCAGGGAAGAGGCTGGTGTTGAGCGCGGGGAAAAACGGCCCCTCATTTGCCCCATGGCCAGCACTTCCTGCTGCAGTCACTCGCAGCCCACACGGGACTGTCCTGAACTGGCACAGGCAGCCCCATGCGGGCTGCAAGCAGCTACAGTGCGGGGTGCCGGGCACAGGGCAAGTGAGGGGCCGCTTTTTCCTGTGCTCAGCACTAGCTTGTAACCTGCCTCTGCTGCCAGCCTGGGCTCCTACAATCACTTCCCTTGATCTGCTGGCTGTGCTCCTACTGATGCAGCCCAGTATGCCATTAGCCTGTACAACAAGGGCACATGGTTGGCTCATTCAGCTTATTGTCCACTGTAACCCCCAGATCCTTTTCTACAGAGCTGCTTCTTAACCAGGCAGTCTACTGATGCATGCAGTTGTTCCATCTTAAGTACAGGACTTTGTACTTGTCCTTATTGAACCTCATGAGATTCCTTTTTGTCCAATCCTCCAATTTGCCTAGGTCTCTCTGAAGCCTAGCCCTACCCTCCATCTTATCTACTACTCCCCACAGCTTGGTCTGTACTCCATCCCATCTTGAGGGTATTGATGAAGATATTGAACAAAACCATGAACTTTATGATGATACCCAAATAGCCTTTGTTGATTTTTGTGAAGGTGTTCAAAATGTTAACAAGAAAAGCAAGAAGGTTATTTCCAATTTTTTTTCTTGATTGTGGTGTGACATTGACACACAAAAAACAGGCTATTTGTTAGTTGTCCTGGTTATTACTCTGTATCTGTGGTAACAGTCTTGATCTTTGTTAACATACACACCTTGTCAGTTATGCCCTAAAAATGTCAAGACAACTAAGTACTGATGCAATAAAGCAGTCAAGTAGCATATAGAAGTTTTAGTAAGTGGAAAAATGAGTAGATCATACAGTAGAGGAGGCTAAGATTAACACCCCCCCCACTTATTGTAGTATTTTCTTTCTGTCTATATTTGGGGAGCTGATATTTTCTTTTAACTTTATCAAATTTAGCTTTTGGATAAAAAAAAAAAAAGCATATCTAACACGTTTGGCACAAAACCAAATGAAAACCAGACCAAAGAGTTTAAACAAGAATATAGATCTGTTTGTGTTCTCACATAATTTGCTTTTTTTTCTAATTTTTAAAAGATTGTTATTGTTGGAAATTTATTTTTAAGAAAAATACTGGTTTGTTTATGCTTGCTGATGACCTTTCAGTACTTGTTTTTGGTGTGTGCCTCGAAACAAAACCAAAAATTCCCCAGACAGACAGAGAAACCCAGTAACTTTTTGCTTTTATCAGTTTTAACTAAAAATACCATCCTGTTCCATACCAAGGATGGAAGCATTATCCACTGTACATTTTTAAAATCTAGTGGAAGTACATTCACAAACCATTGCTGTGTAAAGTGCTGAATGAAACTCAAAAGATTGTTTCATAAGTTACTGAAAGGAGGTACTTAAACAATGCACTTCAATAATAATGCTGTGGGTGATTGTTTCTGTGGGGTGTTTATAGGCCAAATGTTATGTTCACAGACTGAACAATAATTTACACATGCCATTCTTTGCAATCTTTCAGCTACAGTGTTCTGTTGACCATTTGGTTGCTCTGTAACTTTTATTTTACCATCCAGGGGTCAGAATGGGTTGATTATTGTGCCTTTGGGAGACTTCTGTATGAATTTCAGCATGAATCTTTTTTATTACCACCTTTCAACAATTAATATATTTTCTTTCTACATATGTCAAGTTTAAATTTTGACTTGAGTAGCTGAATGTTCAAATTTATCAGTTTCACTGTGTCTGTAGTGCTGTCCTTTTTACTGTATTTCCACTATAAACCTAACTGTGCTAACTATACATCTCGGGTATCCTGCTCTTGATAGCTATTTGATTCTCCATGTTTCACCATCAGTCATCTTGCTTTGAGTTCTCATTGCTGATTTACTCTGAATCGTTCTATCTAGAACAGTGGTTTTCAACTTCTGGTCCGTGAACCCCTGCGTGTCTGCAGACTGTCTAATGGGGTCCAAGAAAGATGGCTATGATCAATCAAAAGTATGTGAATACCCACACTTATAATTCAAAGAGGTCTGTACCTCCATTTGAAATTTTTATTGGTCTGCAAATGAAAAAAGGTTGAAAACCACTGATCTAGAGTATGTTATTACTTAACATACTAGCATTTAGTGCTCAGTCTATCATTTGAAAATGTACATGTTGGTTGTCACATTGGAGCCCTGCCACCAGCTCTCATAAGCTTCTGGTCATTGCAGTGTACAGAAATGTTTAAAGCATATTTCTGCATTCTTTGTTCTGTGATTCTCCAAATAAATGGTCCTGTTTGCTCTTTATGCTTCGCTGACCTATTCTTTTTTTTAGTCTTTGCAATGCTGGAAGAGAGCTCTTGCTCATTTCTGAGATCTCAGTAAAAGCTTCCAATCTAAAATGATGCTGAACACAGGTGGAAGGAATGTTCCTTGGCCATAAGTTGATGATATGGGTTTTTGCTTCTGTTTTTAAAGACAGTTATGTTGTTTGCTATATGTAAATCAGTCTCAGTACTGATCTGTATGTGTGAAATTTTGTATCTTATGAATAATTATATTTACATTACAGCAATTCATATACTTTAAAAATGCTTTTACTTAATTCGAGAAAACAGAAAGTATTTTAATTATATTAGCAGTTGCTGTATAATACAGATAAATGAGAAGCCCTAACTGGTTTGACCCAATCAGATCAGTGCAAATCCTGTCCTCTTACAGAATCCCTTTGATTTTTAATAGGGCTCTGTATAGTCATATGTTTCATAGTTTCTAGGGTCGGAATGGACCTAAGTAGATCATCTAGTCTGACCCCCTGCCGTGGCAGGAAAGAGTACTGGGGTCAAACGACCCCAGCAGGATGTTCATCTAACCTCCTCTTAAAAACCCCCAGGGTAGGAGCCTGCACCACTTCTCTTGGAAGTTGGTTCCAGATCCTAGCTGCCCTGACCGTGAAGTAGCGCCTCCTGATATCTAGCCTAAATCTACCCTCTGCTAGCTTGTGACCGTTATTCCTGGTCACTCCTGGCAGTGCTCGGGGGAACAGGGACTCCCCCAATGCCTGCTGATCCCCTCTGACTAGTTTGTAACAGGCCACAAGATCCCCCCTCGGCCTTCTCTTGTGGAGGCTGAACAGGTTCAGGTCCCGTAGCCTCTCCTCATAGGGCCTGCCCTGCAGTCCCCTGATCATGCGAGTGGCCCTCCTCTGAACCCTCTCCATGCTGTCCACATCCTTTGAAGTGCGGCGCCCAGAACTGGACGCAGTACTCCAACTGCAGCCTGACCAATGCCGCATAGAGGGGGAGGATCACCTCTTTGGACCTGCTCGAGGTGCATCTGTGGATGCATGACAAGGTATGGTTGGCCTTCCTGACTGCCTCCCCACACTGCCAGCCCATGTTCATCTTGGAGTCAATGATGACTCC